GTACGTCTCTAGTTGTCGTGAAAGTCATTTACGTACCTCTCCAGGTGTCGTGGTAGATAGTGGTATACGTACGTCTCTAAGTGTCGTGATAGTGGTATACGTACCTCCCCAGGTGTCGTGATAGTGGTATACGTACGTCTCTAGGTGTCGTGAAAGTGGTATACGTACGTCTCCAGGTGTCGTGATAGTGGTATACGTACGTCTCTAGGTGCCGTGAAAGTCATTTACGTACCTCTCCAGGTGTTGTGATAACCATTTACGGACCTCTCCAGGTGTCTTGATAGTGGTATACGTACGTCTCTAAGTGTCGAGAAAGTGGTATACGTACCTCTCTAGGTGTCGAGATAGTTGTATAAGTACCTCTCCAGGTGTCGTGAAAGTGGTATACGTACCTCTCTAGGTGTCGAGATAGTTGTATACGTACCTCTCAAGGTGTCGTGATAGTGATACGGTGTCGAGATAGTTGTATAAGTACCTCTCCTCGTGATAGTCATTTACGTTCCTCTCCGGGTGTCGTGATAGTGGTATACATACCTCTCCAGGTGTCATGATAGTGGTATACGTACGTCTCAAGGTGTCGTGATAGTGGTATACGTACCTCTCCATGTGTCGTTGTAGTGGTATACGTACCTCTCCAGGTGTCGTGATAGTGATACACGTATCCCTCCAAGTGTCGTGATAGTCATTTACGTACCTCTCCAGGTGTTGTGATAACCATTTACTGACCTCTCCAGGTGTCGTGATAGTGGTATACGTACGTGGTATACGTACCTCTCCAGGTGTCGTGATAGTGGTATACGTACGTCTCTGGGTGTCGTGAAAGTCCTTTACGTACCTCTCCAGGTGTTGTGATAACCATTTACGGACCTCTCCAGGGGTCGTGATAGTGGTATACGTACGTCTCTAAGTGTCGAGAAAGTGGTATACGTACGTCTCTAGGTGTCGTGATAGTAGTATACGTACGTCTCATGGTGTCGTGATAGTGGTATACGTACCTCTCCAGGTGTCGTGATAGCCATTTACGTACCTCTCCAGTGTCGTGATAGTGGTACGTACGTCTCTAGGTGTCGTGAAAGTGGTATACGTACCTCTCTATGTGTCGAGATAGTGGTATACGTACCTCTCCAGTGTCGTGATAGTGGTACACGTACGTCTCTAGGTGTCGTGAAAGTGGTATACGTACGTCTCTAGGTGTCGAGATAGTGGTATAAGTACCTCTCCAGGTGTCGTGATAATCGTGTATGTACCTCTCCAGGCGTCGTGATAGTCATTTACGTACCTCTCCAGGGGTCGTGATAGTGGTATACGTACGTCTCTAGGTGTCGAGATAGTGGTATAAGTCCCTCTCCAGGTGTCGTGATAATCGTGTATGTAGCTCTCCAGGTGTCGTGATAGTCATTTACCTACCTCTCCAGAAGTCGTGATAGCCATTTACGTACGGTATACGTACGTCTCTAGGTGTCGTGATAGTAGTATACGTACGTATCATGGTGTCGTGATAGTTTGATAGTGGTATACGTACGTCTCTAGGTGTCGAGATAGTGTATAAGTACCTCTCCAGGTGTCGTGATAATCGTGTATGCACCTCTCCAGGTGTCGTGATAGTCATTCACGTACCTCTCCAGGTGTCGTGATAGTCGTTTACCTACCTCTCCAGGTGTCGTGATAGCCATTCATGTACCTCTCCAGGTGTCATGATAGTGGTATACGTACGTCTCTAAGTGTCGAGATAGTGGTATACGTACGTCTCCAGGTGTCGTGATAGTGGTATACATACCTCTCCAGGTGTCGTGATAGTGGTCTACGTACGTCTCTGGGTGTCGTGAAAGTCATTTACGTACCTCTCAGATATTGGTATAAGTACCTCTCCAGGTGTCGTGATAGTGGAATCCGTACGTCTCTAGCTGTCGTGAAAGTGGTATACGTACGTCTCTAAGTGTCGAGAAAGTGGTATACGTACGTCTCTAGGTGTCGAGATAGTGGTATAAGTCCCTCTCCAGGTGTCGTGATAATCGTGTATGTACCTCGCCAGGTGTCGTGATAGTCATTTACCTACCTCTCCAGGTGTCGGTCGTGATAGCCATTCATGTACCTCTCCAGGTGTCGTGATAGTGGTCTACGTACGTCTCTGGGTGTCGTGAAAGTCATTTACGTACCTCTCAGATATTGGTATAAGTACCTCTCCAGGTGTCGTGATAGTGGAATCCGTACGTCTCTAGCTGTCGTGAAAGTGGTATACGTACGTCTCTAGGGGTCGAGATAATGGTATACGTACCTCTCCAGGTGTCGTTGTAGTGGTATCCGTACCTCTGCAGGTGTCGTGATAGTGATACGTACGTCTCTAGGTGTCGTGAAAGTTGTATACGTACGTCTCTAAGTGTCGTGATAGCGGTATACGTACCTGTCCAGGTGTCGTGATAGTGGTATACGTACCTCTCTAGGTGTCGAGCTAGTGGTATACGTACCTCTCAAGGTGTCGTGATAGTGGTATACGTACGTCTCTAGGTGTCGAGATAATGGTATACGTACCTCTCCAGGTGTCGTGATAGTGGTATACGTACGTCTCTAGGTGTCGTGAAAGTCATTTACGTACCTCTCCAGGTGTCGTGATAATCGTGTATGTACCTCTTCAGGAGTCGTGATAATCATTTACGTACCTCTCCAGGTGTTGTGATAACCATTTACGGACCTCTCCAGGTGACGTGATAGTGGTATACGTACGTCTCTAAGTGTCGAGAAAGTGGTAAACGTACGTCTCTAGGTGTCGTGATAGTAGTATACGTACGTCTCAAGGTGCCGTGATAGTGGTAAACGTACCTCTCCAGGTGTCGTTGTAGTTGTATACGTACCTCTCCAGGTGTCGTGATAGCCATTTGTACGTCTCTAAGTGTCGAGAAAGTGGTAAACGTACGTCTCTAGGGGTCGTGATAGTAGTATACGTACGTCTCAAGGTGCCGTGATAGAGCTAAACGTACCTCTCCAGGTGTCGTTGTAGTTGTATACGTACCTCTCCAGGGGTTGGGATAGCCATTTACGTACCTCTCCAGGTGTCGTGATAGTGGTACACGTACGTCTCTCAAGGTGTCGTGATAGTGGTATACGTACCTCTCTAGGTGTCGTGATAGTGGTATACGTACCTCTCTAAGTGTCGAGAAAGTGGTATACTTACGTCTCTAGGTGTCGTGATAGTAGTATACGTACGTCTCAGGGTGCCGTGATAGTGGTAAACGTACCTCTCTAGGTGTCGTTGTAGTTGTATACGTACCTCTCCAGGTGTTGTGATAGCCATTTACGTACCTCTCCAGGTGTCGTGATAATCGTGTATGTACCTCTTCAGGTGTCGTGATAGTCATTTACGTACCTCTCCAAGGTGTTGTGATAACCATTTACGGACCTCTCCAGGTGTCGGGATAGTGGGATACGTACGTCTCTAAGTGTCGAGAAAGTGGTAAACGTACGTCTCTAGGGGTCGTGATAGTAGTATACGTACGTCTCAAGGTGCCGTGATAGTGGTAAACGTCCCTCTCCAGGTGTCGTTGTAGTTGTATACGTACCTCTCCAGTTGTTGTGATAGCCATTTACGTACCTCTCCAGGTGTCGTGATAATCGTGTATGTACCTCTTCAGGTGTCGGGATAGGCATTTACGTACCTCTCCAGGTGTTGTGATAACCATTTACGGACCTCTCCAGGTGTCGGGATAGTGGGATACGTACGTCTCTAAGTGTCGAGAAAGTGGTATACGTACGTCTCTAGGTGTCGAGATAGTGGTATAAGTACCTCTCCAGGTGTCGTGATAATCGTGTATGTACCTCTTCAGGTGTCGGGATAGGCATTTACGTACCTCTCCAGGTGTTGTGATAACCATTTACGGACCTCTCTAGGTGTCGTGATAGTGGTATACGTACGTCTCTAAGTGTCGTGATAGTGGTATACGTACCTCTCCATGTGTCGTTGTAGTGGTATACGTACCTCTCCAGGTGTCGTGATAGCCATTTGTACGTCTCTAAGTGTCGAGAAAGTGGTAAACGTACGTCTCTAGGTGTCGTGTTAGTAGTATACGTACGTCTCAAGGTGCCGTGATAGTGGTAAACGTACCTATCCAGGTGTCGTTGTAGTTGTATACGTACCTCTCCAGGGGTTGGGATAGCCATTTACGTACCTCTCCAGGTGTCGTGATAATCGTGTATGTACCTCTTCAGGTGTCGGGATAGGCATTTACGTACCTCTCCAGGTGTTGTGAGAACCATTTACGGACCTCTCCAGGTGTCGTGATAGTGGTATACGTACCTCTCTAAGTGTCGAGAAAGTGGTATACGTACGTCTCTAGGTGTCGTGATAGTAGTATACGTACGTCTCAAGGTGTCGTGATAGTGGTATACGTACCTCTCCAGGTGTCGTGATAGTCATTTACGTACCTCTCCAGGTGTCGTGATATTGATACACTTATCCCTCCAGGTGTCGTGATAGTGGTATATGTACCTCTCCAGGACGATAGTGGTATACGTACGTCTCTAGGTGTCGTGAAAGTGGTATACGTGCCTCTCTAGCTGTCGAGATAGTGGTATACGTACCTCTCCAGGTGTCGTGATAATCGTGTATGTACCTCTCCAGGTGTCGTGATAGTCATTTACGTAACCCTCCAGGTGTCGTGATAGTGGTATACGTACGTCTCAAGGTGTCGTGATAGTGGTATACGTTCCTCTCCAGGTGTCGTTGTAGTTGTATACGTACCTCTCCAGGTGTTGTGATAGCCATTTACGTACCTCTCCAGGTGTCGTGATAGTGGTATACGGACGTCTCTAGGTGTCGTGAAAGTCATTTACGTACCTCTCCGGGTGTCGTGATATTGATACACTTATCCCTCCAGGTGTCGTGATAGTGGTATATGTACCTCTCCAGGACGAGGTGTCGTGATAGTGGTATACGTACCTCTCCAGGTGTCGTGATAGTGGTATACGTACCTCTCCAGGACGAGGTGTCGTGATAGTCATTTACGTACCTCTCCAGGTGTCGTGATAGTCGTGTGAAGGCTATCGAGTTACGTTCCGCCTGGTCAGCCCTCAAGTTGGAGAACGCTAGTTCCATTTCAAGGGACTTTGTCAGGTGTGGATCTGGTTACAAATGTTTGAGCTAAATGTAATTTAAATCAGCCAAACATACGTTAACTTGAAAATTGCAATGTGAGCTTTTAAATTTCTCTTTGCCATGTCATACAATTTTAGCACGAAGTATAACGCACGTTAGAACCATCTTGAATACATCAGGTGTTGGTGAGACATTATCAGCAGGAAAACTTGAAAAGTTTTTTTTTATTTATTATACATATTACAGATATTTTTTATTTCAGTGCTTAGAGCACGATATTATGTACCTGTATTTACTTAGCATATTTGTTAAAAAAAACACCTGCTATTTTCATAATACGTTTCATGTCAAACCCAAAACAAATAGGTACCCTTGTAAGTTTGGATATTGGACAATTCTTTGCGAACAGAGGCTGTCCATGCCAACATCTTCCTGGAAAATTGGTCTTCAATGTGAGCTTTATCCTCAGCTATTTTCCTCCATAATTCGTAGTCAGTAAGGCTAGATTAAAAATAAAATGATTGATTTTGTCACCGTACGAGGAAGTCAAACCAATATGGCCGACCTAGCCTGGCCAACACATAACAGTCAGTTGTGAAAGTCATGTGAAATTCTAAACAGGTTTAGAAACAAGGTCGCCATCGACACATGCACACTATATTCTATCAAACATTTTGAGGCATTTCTTTTAGGATACGTTTTCATACGACTGGTATAATAAGTTATTGGAATTATAATCTTGCATCCTTACTGCTTGTGTTCGTAGGAACTCCCACCACTACGATCTTTTGGAAAAAAGAGCTCAAACGAGATTTCCTTGTGTCCCTTTTCCGCCATTGTTATTTTGGAAATGACGTCACAGATTACGTAGACATATAAAAAGTTTCCCGCGGGAAAATACACTTGCTTTATTTATAACATCGGTTGGTCTCGGGGCGCAGCCACGATTTGGCAAGTTTTACAAATAATTTCCCATAAACAAATTAGGATAACACACATTTTATTGAATAACTAACATAAATCAAAACATGTTAACTCTGTTAATCATAATTCCCTTCAGTATTGCAAAGTTCATTCGGCGTCTATTTGTTTATATAAAATATATTTATTGTTTATGTTTATTTCAACTTATATAAGTCACTCTTGTTAGCCCCGATGTTAGCCTGCGCTGGGGAGGGGACTCAATGTGGGAGGAAACCGGAGGTACACAGAAATAAAAACACGTGGTCGGGTAGGTGGCTCCATACCTTTTCAAGTTCGATCGAGTGTAATAATGTGTTGGCCGGCTTTAAAATGACTAAAAAATGTGTTAGCTTCGCTGGTGCGTCGCAGTTTTGTGTTTTACAAGAAGTGGCATCTCGTTCAGATATTCAGTACTTCTTATCTTCACGTCCAAAAGAACCTTTGAATGACAATTACACGTGTATGCATTTTCTATACATAAACACAAAATATATTCTTCACACTATCATCCATACTTATTACAGATAACCAATCAATACTTGTTAAAACAATTAACCACGGATATAGCTTGCACTGATAGAAATATTCAAAATGAAAACTGATATGTTGGTTGGAGCGTCTATATAATGATCGGATGTCAAGGGTTCTTCCGTAAGACTTCACTCCTAGGAACACAGGGAATGGGTCAGGTTGTGTTTATCATGTTGGAGTTATCTCCCCTGATCCTTTTGTTAGTTCAACAATCTGTAACGCTGACGTCCAGAACTTGACAGAAGCACATGTATATGTATATATATCTAATTTTTCATTTCAATGTATCCTTAAATTAATTAATCATTATTGAAACTACATTGTATATTATCTTCGATCAAATTTAGAGCCACTCTTGGAATGAAGGCTTGCATGTTATTCAATCCATTTGACTATTACATCTGTCAATAAAACTTGTTGATATGAAAAGGGATCAGGTGACAGGGTCTTAATTTTCTCTTGATGATCATTCCAACCAAGATTGAATTTCATACCAAAAATAAGCAAAAAAGACCACCACCCAAACCAAAAAGTGTTACTGTATTATAAATTACCGTCAACTTCACTCCCTCTCCAGGAGAGATCGGGTGAGCTGGGGTGATAAAATTTACAATTAGATAAAGCACCCTAGAACCTGCCATCCATGAAGATTGTTTGATTACAGAACTGCTTGGTATAAAGAAGAATTCATTTTGGTAATTGTCCGTGTTTGATCCCCCTATGTCCAGCTTCCCAGGCCCAAAGATTGGCGTTGGGTCTTTATTTTTATACCATCAAACTTCCATCCTTTGATGATAATTCCAACAAAATTTGAATTAATTCGAACTGACGAAACAAAATATTCCTCATTATTTCTCCTCTAGACTTTACCCAGACTTCCACGAAGGTGTAAATTAGATGACCTGTTAGTAAGGAAATTTATAAGTAAAAAAAAATGTCTTATAACCTTTACATTCATCAGAGAATTCGGTTCTAGTTTTCCCGAGTATAAAGAAGATTGCTGTTAGTCAATTTATCCCCTTTATATAGACCCCGCCTCTCAAATCCTAGAGGTCATTCATTCAATCTCACTTTCATCCGAAGATTATAACTCTAATTTAGTTCGAATTATTTCCAACTGAATATATATAGTTTCAAAAGTTTTATTTTCCTAAATAAAATATATTTACTTCCCAACCCCATCCAACCTCACCCGCCTCATGTATCTCTCCAAAGCCCAAACGTCCGATTTAGTTTGATTAATAACTTTGTATTAGAAAATTGTTGAAATTAATCTGGAGAAGCAGGGTGTTACTAGCGATAAAGGGAATGTTAACCATCGGAAAATCGAAATCTTCCTGCTTATCGTATGACTTAGGCCTAGTAGTTAACCGTTCCTGTTGGTTATGTTGTAAGTAAAGATCGATCAAAAAGCCTAAGAAGAAGAGTCAGGTGTCAGTGATTTCAAGCCAAGGAAGTTATTACGAACGATGTGATAAATATGTTTTGTGTTATCTAAAGGCAGCACATCGTCGATATATTTGCTGTGAAATTGAAGCACTCGGTTAGATTTTTGTTACCAGTCCTGAGAGGCTTTTAAATAAACTCATCGTCATATGAAAGCAAAAACAAGACGGCCGGAAAAGGCCCATAGCTCCCGATATCCCTACAGGTTGCTGGAATATCTTGTCACCGAACTCAACAAATATGTTGGCCTTTGTTGTGCTTTTTCACAAAGTATGATCCAAAATAGTTTATGTCACCGTTCGCCTTTCTTGGAAAGGAATCAAACATATTAGGAGAAGGAAGGCGTTCGTTTAGCAAATAGAAGAGGTAGCGATAAAATGTTGTTTATAGTTTATTGAAGTTCCGGAATATAAAACAAACGAGGTAGGTCCGCATCCTCATAATTCATGAGTATTCGGAAAGCGTAGTTATCTAATATTTTGTCTTTTGAAAAAATGATTTCAATAACTAATTCGGGCACGAGTTGTTCATCTTATTTAACATCAAGATGTTGATACTGAAGACGCTCCGTCATCGGCTTTATACCTTGCTATTTGCCAACAGTAAGATTGTAATGGTTGCCTAGCTGTCAAACTCAGTAACCAAGATCACGGTTTTTCTTCCACAAATGTCATCTTTCCTCTCTGAAGTTTTTAAAAACATTACTGCAATGCAATGTAAAAATATTCGTGTAGCACAACCAATAAGTGTGTATATGTGACGTTTTGATGACTAGTACGGTATGTACTCTGTGACCCTTATCAGACAAATGACCAGTGAAGCGTATGTACATAAAGGTGTAGAATATGTACGAGTTGTCATCAATTCGATGTTGATTCGGCTACGCAGTAAGCTTGTGTACAATAAGTTGCTATATATGTACAGAAATGACTCGATTCAGCTACGCGTTATGTAATACTTGGTCATAGATGTGCGAGAGTCTATGAGACCCCCTCGTCTCGATTTAGAACTGGCCCACTGCGGCGTATCCAGATGGCTTTATTTATCTGTCGCTTTAACATAATGCTCTCTTTGTTCAATACTTCGGAGTTGTCCCAGTCAATCACATGATTTTGTTCTGTGTGGCATGGTCTGTGATTGCCGATTTATTCATCTGGGACTCCGACTGCTTCCTTTCTGATCGGGTGAATATTTCCAGTGTTCACCATACTATGCAATGACCGCGATATATTCTCCGGATATACCCTTTATATACGGGATGACGACTTGACCTTTGGTTTTGTTCCTTGATTGGCCTTTTCTTGTTCTTTCCTTTACTTTGACACTGTTTTTTCACTCGTTTTAGGCCCCATTCCGGATTTACACAGGTTTGTATTGCCATAGCGATGTAACTCTGCTCTTGTATTTGTCCTGTTGTTCTGTGACTATTGTATTACACCTGTTGGACGTTGTGCGTATGTCACCGAACTTCTGGTGCAAAGGATGGTGAGATTTGAAGTTCAGGTATTGGTCCGTATGAGTCTTTTTTCTATAAACCAATACCTTCACGGTTCCGTCTTCTTTCTTTACCAGTAGAGTGTCTAGGAATGGCATTGTGCCGTTGGTTTCTTTCTCACATGTACCATGATGTCCTGAATCTGGAGGTTTGTGTTCTTACACCAGGATCTGTCTAATTCTAAGCGGTTCCTTATGATTCTAAGTGCATCGTCAATGGGTGTGTTAGTAAAGAGAGAGGCAAAATCATGTGAAATGAATACTTCGTCTTCCTGAATCAATCATGGTGGCATCCTCGATATCCAGGGGTTACGCTCACTTTCGCTCTCTGCACCCCTGGAATATGTCATAGCAAAATCGAAGATCCAGTGTGCAGCACCTTGAAGATGAGACGCGAAGACTAATTTGATCCTTTGATGTACATCAAAAGAAGCTCGCGGTCACGTACCGGTAAAAATTGGGCGTCTGTCCTTTGTAATCTTCAAAGGACATGTATCAGCCTAGCGATTGGTCAGTTCTTTTTACCTGAGACCAATCAAACAGCTATCCTCGTGCCTTCAATTTTGCTGTGACATATTCCAGGGGTGCAGAGAGCGAAAGTGAGCGTAACCCCTGGATATCGAGGATGTCATGATGGTAGACATAGTTTCCGCTAGATATTTCGAGTTCTTTACATGGTGTTCCGATTTACCCACTAGCGGTCCAAGAATGTCTGCTAATGATCTGGAAACATTGTAACCAATGGATCCAGTGTAGTCCACAACAGGCCTCAGTTGGTTTCCCTGCTTGTGGATCTTGGGTGTACAGTACATTCTAGGAGTGTTCCCTGCTTGTGGATCTTGGGTGTACAGTACATTCTAGGAGTGTTCCCTGCTTGTGGATCTTGGGTGTACAGTACATTCTAGGAGTGTTCCCTGCTTGTGGATCTTGGGTGTACAGTACATTCTAGGAGTGTTCCCTGCTTGTGGATCTTGGGTGTACAGTACATTCTAGGAGTGTTCCCTGCTTGTGGATCTTGGGTGTACAGTACATTCTAGGAGTGTTCCCTGCTTGTGGATCTTGGGTGT